ATCTTCTTAAACTTGTAGAGACTTGCTTTGTGTCCTAACATGTGGTCTGTCTTTGAGAATGACCCATGTGCACTTGAGAGGAATGTATATTCTGCAGCTTTTGGGTGAAATGTTCTATAAATACCAATTAAATCCATCTGATCTAGTGTGCCATTTAGAGTCATTGTTTCTGTGTCGACTTTTTGTCCGGAAGATCTATCCAGTGAAGTCAGTGGGGTATTAAAGTCCCCAACTATGACTGTATTGCTGTTGATCTCTCCCTTAAGGTCCTTAAGGTTATAATTGATAGATCCTTATTTATTGCCATTTTAATTCTTTATGCTTATGTTTCTCTATTTCTTATTATTATTACAGCAGTCCGTTTAACATTTCCTGCAATGCTGGTTTGGTGGTGATAAATTCCTTTAGCCTTTTTTTTTGTCTGGGAGGCTCTTTATTTCACCATCTATTTTGAATGATAGCCTTGCTGGATAGAGTAGTCTTGGTTTCAGATCCTTGTTTTACATTACCTTGAATACTTAATGCCATCCCCTTCTGGCCTGTAGAGTTCCTGATGAGAAGTTAGCTGAAAACCTTATGGGGGCTCCTTTGTAGGTAACAGATTGCTTTTCTCTTGCTGCCTTTAAGATTCTCTTTTTGCCTTGAATTTTTGGCATTTTATTTTCTTGAATTCACAGATGCTTTAATTTTTAATTTTTAAATTTATCTTTAGTATTGAAAGTATTACAGATGTCCCCCCCCACTGATCCCCTCCACCCCTCATCCAGCCCACCCATATGCTTTCCCCATACCATTGTCTGTGTCCATGGGTTATGCTTATAAACATATAAGTTCTTTGATTAATCTCTTCCATCCCCACCTTCCCTCTGAGATCCCTCAGTCTGTTCCATACTTCTATGTCTCTGGATCTATTTTGTTCATCAGTTTATTTTGTTTATTACATTTATTTTTGGCATTTTAATTATAATGTGTCTGGGCATGGGCCTCTTTGGATTCTTCTTGCTTGGGACTCTCTGTGCCTCCTGAACTTGTGTGACATTTTCCTTGAACAGGTTAAGGAAGTTTTCTGCCATTATTTTTTTTTTTCTTTTTTTTTTNAATTAAATCCATCTGATCTAGTGTGCCATTTAGAGTCATTGTTTCTGTGTCGACTTTTTGTCCGGAAGATCTATCCAGTGAAGTCAGTGGGGTATTAAAGTCCCCAACTATGACTGTATTGCTGTTGATCTCTCCCTTAAGGTCCTTAAGGTTATAATTGATAGATCCTTATTTATTGCCATTTTAATTCTTTATGCTTATGTTTCTCTATTTCTTATTATTATTACAGCAGTCCGTTTAACATTTCCTGCAATGCTGGTTTGGTGGTGATAAATTCCTTTAGCCTTTTTTTTTGTCTGGGAGGCTCTTTATTTCACCATCTATTTTGAATGATAGCCTTGCTGGATAGAGTAGTCTTGGTTTCAGATCCTTGTTTTACATTACCTTGAATACTTAATGCCATCCCCTTCTGGCCTGTAGAGTTCCTGATGAGAAGTTAGCTGAAAACCTTATGGGGGCTCCTTTGTAGGTAACAGATTGCTTTTCTCTTGCTGCCTTTAAGATTCTCTTTTTGCCTTGAATTTTTGGCATTTTATTTTCTTGAATTCACAGATGCTTTAATTTTTAATTTTTAAATTTATCTTTAGTATTGAAAGTATTACAGATGTCCCCCCCCACTGATCCCCTCCACCCCTCATCCAGCCCACCCATATGCTTTCCCCATACCATTGTCTGTGTCCATGGGTTATGCTTATAAACATATAAGTTCTTTGATTAATCTCTTCCATCCCCACCTTCCCTCTGAGATCCCTCAGTCTGTTCCATACTTCTATGTCTCTGGATCTATTTTGTTCATCAGTTTATTTTGTTTATTACATTTATTTTTGGCATTTTAATTATAATGTGTCTGGGCATGGGCCTCTTTGGATTCTTCTTGCTTGGGACTCTCTGTGCCTCCTGAACTTGTGTGACATTTTCCTTGAACAGGTTAAGGAAGTTTTCTGCCATTATTTTTTTTTTTCTTTTTTTTTTAACACATCCCCATTGATTTCAGAGAGAGGAAAGGAGAGGGAGAGAGAGAGACAGAAACATCAATGATGAGAGAGTCATTGATCGAGCCCACAACCCGGGCATGTGCCCTGACCGGGAACCAAACACCGATCGCCTGGATCCTAGGTCGACGCTCAACCGCTGAGCCAAGCCTGGCCGGGCATCTGCCATTATTTCTTCAAACAGGTTCTCTAACCCTTGCTTACTTTCAACCTCTTCTGGTACTCCCCACAGCTCCCTTAGACTGTCCTCCTGTTTTTTAATTGTTTTTTCTTTTCAGATCTCTGAGTGATTTTTTCTACCCTGTTTTCTAATTCACTGATCTGATCCTCAGCTTCCTCTAATTTGTTTATTCCTTCCAATGTATTCTTTATTTCTGCTATGTCATTCTTCATTTCTGACTGGTCATTTTTCATAGTTTCCATATATTTTTTCACGCTGTTGAGCATCCCTACAATCAGTGTTCTGAACTCTATATCTGATAGATTGCTTATCTCCATTTCATTTAGCTTTTTTTCTGGAGACTTCTCTTATTCTTTCATTTGGGGCTTGTTTTATTGTCTCCCCACTTTGGCTGCCTATTTGGGTTTGTTTCTATGTATTAGGTAGGCCTGCTAGAACTCTCGGTCTTTTTGGAAGGTCTCTGGTGCAGGCCAATGTCAGATGCTGTTTGTAACCGGCCTTGAATACCCTGTTTGGAGCTATCAACAGCCCACAGCTTGAGGTTCCCTCTGTTGGGGATAGGTGCATTTGGAAAGGACCAAGGTGGACACCAAAGTCTGCTTTTCCAAGGCCCAAGTCCAGAAGCAGATCAGGCAAAGACTCAAAGCACTCTGAGGTCTGCCTCTGCTTGCAGGCTGATTAATCTGATTTTCTTAATGAGTCTCAGGCTGTAGAAACTCCACAGGGTAAGGTGGCTGATTGTTATCAGTCTCTTAAAAGCCTCATGCTGCAGAAACTCCACAGGGTAGGGCGAGAGGTTTTCCAGCAGGGTGAGGCAATTGCTTCCGCCTCAGGCAAAAGCTGCTTGGAAGGTAAATGTCTGCCTGTGAAAGATGTCCTCTGCATTTTGGGGGAATGACTCAGCACAGGAATCCAGAGGGGTGCCCTCTGAGCTCTATCTCCAGAGCCCACAACCCTAGATTGTCCTCACACAGCTCCAGTTCTCTGCCCTACCTCTGCTGGAGCCCAAGGTGAGTGGCTACACACAAAACTTTGTGCATTGGCCCTTTAAGGGGGTGCCTGCATTTCCAGCCATTTCTCCCTGGCAGACAGAAACCCAGCTGCTTTTCACAGCCAGATGTTATGTGGGCACCTTTCTCAGTTCCGGTGCTCTTGGCTGGGAAACCCAGTCTGCAGTTTAGGTCCCAGAGTCCTTAGTGGGAACCCCCCATAGCTGAGATATCCCTCTGGACCTTCAGCTGCTGCCTGTGGGAGCCCAGTCAGCCCTCTTTCGCCTCCGCACTTCCTACCAGTCTCTATGAGGTCTCCACTTTTCCCCCTTGGTTATGAGGGTGCTCTTCAGCTTGTCTTCAGTTGCAGTGGATTATTCAGGATGGTTTTTCTATATTTTAGTTGTAATTCCAGTTTGGTCCCTGGACAATGTCAGTGTAGCTTCCACTCAGTTCACCACCATCTTTAATTTCTAATTTTTATTTTTCAATTGATATACAATATTACATTAGTTTCAGGAGTATAACCCAGTGATTGGATATTATATAACTTATTAAGTGATCACCCTGGTAAATCTAGTACCCATCTGATACCATACATAGTTATTATATTATTATTGACTATATTCCCTATGTTGTACTTTACATCTCCCTGTCACTTATTTCTTTTAACCAGCTCTTATCACATTGCTTTTAGTGACTTTTTATTTAACTGTCTATTCCATGATTCCATGAGCTCCATGGGAGGAGAGTCTGTGGGCTGTTCACTGTTATGTCCCTAGGGTCTGGCATAGTACCTGGCGTATAAAGTATTCGGATATTTGAATTGCTGAATGCAAAACTCAGCTCAGCTATTTTTATTGTCCCTTTTGGGGAGCTTCCTATCAACTTCTTCATTTTAGGAGGCATTCATTCCATGCAGCTGAAAGGCAATGAGGGTCAAACAGGCAACAGGGCTACAGCAGGTTCTCAGATGGCTTATCCCTTAAAAAGTTAATAACAACAGAGCACAGAGAGGGGAGATGCTATCATTTTTTCTTTTGACATCTGTCATATTACCTTTGTGTTTTTGATGAACACAAAGCATCTCCCCAAGGATGGTACACACTCCTCTAAAAACCTTTCCTCCAGGTTGTGGGCATATACAGAAGTTATCTATGAATTGTGCCTATGGGCCAAAAATGCATTGCATTCTTGGCCATTACTTCTTGTACTATCCTCATGTCCACATTGCTCCTCTGGGGCCCAAAGTCACCCTGGGAAGAATTCAAGCCTGACCTTTACCTTCAATGCACCTTAGAGGAGGGTCTTCCTTTTCTGCTCAAGTCCCTTTGTCTGCTGTTCAAGGCAGGGCTGAAAGAGTTGTACGGAATGCTGACCCATCTGAAATATGGGTTTAAGCTCTTACACCATCTGGGAAGTACTATCTACCTCCTCTACTCTCTCCATCACATACCACATTGAAAATAAGGAGGCAAAAACAGGTGGTATTTTGCTTAGAGGTATAGCATATATTTGGAGACGGTACTACCTCACCTGCACATTAATGGAAATGATGACAGCCTTTTTGAGGGAGATGCAGAGGTTTGGGAAACTCTGAACTCTTTTTCTGTAGTGGGTTTTCCTTGTATAGACCTGTGCATCCTGCTGAGATGAGAGCTGAGAGCTGGCATGGGTTTTTGGCTGAGTGGCACAAGTCAACTCAAGGCAGTGCTTAGAGCTGTTGTGGGAAGAAATGCACTAGAACCTGGAGTGGCTGGACTGAAAGGGGTGTTGCTGGAGTTCATTGTCTAGGCTCTGGCGGGCATCAAAGAAGGTGATACTCTTCTCCTCTGTTGTCTCCTCCAACTTAGCTAGCCTCACAGGGCCTTTGGTGGAGGGTGGACTCTTCTCAACATTTTTGATCGTGGTTTTGATCACTGTCTCATCCTTAGAGAGGAGAGTGGGTTTCTTATGCCCTTGATCTTTCACCTTGGGGTTAATCCAGACTGGAATCATATTTCCCAAGCCAGTTTCTGCAGCTTCTGGAAGGGTAGAGCTCTTATGAATATAAGCTGCCTTTACCAGACCCTATAGTTCCTGGCCCTAGAAAGTTTGGCCCTACAAATTTTGTGCTTGCAAAGTTTGGATCTTAAAAATGTGACCCCTTCAAATGCTGGACTTGCAAAATTTGACCTCATAAGTGGTGGCCAAGTAAGTTGATCCTGTAAGGTCAGGCCATTTAGGCTCTGGACCCTCCAGATTTGGCATTCTCAGAAGTCCTTATTTGGATGAGGTCATTCAGCTTGCTCTAGCAGCCCTGCATACCATTCTTATCTGGACCTTCTGCCCCAAGGAATCCTGGAGGATGCTCTAGGAACTCAAGGTGAGGGAAAAGCTGGTGAAGGTGCTGACGGGGAGCAATAAGCTGAAAGGATGGAGATGGTAACTCTATAAATCCAGACATATCCTTGCTAATCCCCACTCACTCAAGGCAACCATCTTGGTCAAACTAAAATTATACTTAAAATCCTGGAGATACATTGGAAAGTCAGGGGCTCTGGAGGTCCTACTTAGAAGTGTCCCTACTGGACCCTGAATCTTGGCAGAATAGATGTTCTCTCTGGTTGGGGAGAGCCTTAATGCTACACTCCCTTCTCTGTAATTCTCTGCCATTTTGAGTTTCCCTGGATCCTCTATTTTCTCTGCTGCAGTAGAGAGGTGTCTTTACCTTGTAGAGACCTGGGGCTAAGGAGCCTAGGACTCCTCCAGGTTGGGGTTGTTTACAGTGGCCTCCAGCTGAACACAAATCACCTGAGTCTCTGTCATGTCCCCGCTGAGTTGTGGGGTCTTGAAAGCCCAGTGGGCAGAACCATAAGAACTGCTCTAGAATTAGCTTACTTTTGGTTCTACTGAACTGCCTTAGTTTATTTGCAAGCTTTTCTTTAAGGTGGACAGTTCTGGGGCACTTGGGATGCCTGGTGGGATGAGGAGTTCCTGGGGCAGTATTTTCCTTTGGTTGTTTAGACTCCTAAAGGACTCCTAGGCACAGATATCCTTTGGGACAGCCACAGTTTCTTCCCTGGACTCCTTTGTCTTTATGAGACTTCCCAAATGTATCTCAAGGAATTTATTTTACAGGTAAAAATTTAGTTTGGCCAAGATGGATGTTTTGAGTGAATAGGGTACCAAGATCTGTCTGGCTATCTAGAGGTATCATCTCCATTCACCTGTACTTCAACCTGGTATGCTTGAGCACTGTCTGCACAAGTTTCATTGGTATCTTGAAAGCATGGTGCAGGACTTACACATTACTACTTAGGTGAGATGAGCCAGAGGCTCTGTTGGATCCTCAACAAACCCAGGCTCCATCTCTGTGATTGCTGATTGGTTAGTGATTGCTGGGGCCATGGAGACAGCCACATAGTAAAGAGGCAGCAGGCCTGACAGAAAGGCCAAAAGTTGTCTCACTGACTCAGTTTCTCAGTGACTCCCTAGGAGGGTACCCATGCATGTGCTGATCAGGGTGATCAGTGACAGCATCTAGTGAGGTTTGTTGCTGCTGGTCAAGACCTGTCAGTACTCAGGTTGTCACTTCTTGATCGACCAATCAGTAAGCACCGATTGCTGTCTCCACATACGGGCTTACTTTCTGGAGTGTAAGGGAACCAAGGTGCTTCCACAGCCCCTGAAATGCTGCACACCCAGTGATTTGCAGTCCTACCAGTGCAGATATGGGCAGGGACAATGGCCTAGCAAGTCTTCCCCATTTGTAGTCAATATGGCTCTGTAACATTGCCTTTGCCAGGGCAAGCAACTGTGAACTGGTCCTGTTGCCACAGTGGATCAGAACAGGACACTATCTCCACTGGCTTCTAAGCCATCAGACTAGGGGACATTCACACTGGTTAGTGTGCTGCTCCAGGGAGTGGATGCTGGTCATTAGGGGAAAGAAACTGGATGAGCTGCTGGATCTTCTGGAGCAAGCCCTAGAAATGGTGAATCAACCTGCTAAACTGACCACTTCTGAAGGTGGAACTCCTTCCTGGAGCAGCTTTGGGCATGCTTCAGGAAAACACTTCCTGCCTCTTCAGGACTGAAATAGGCTTCCCTAAACAGGTAGGCCCCTGCATCTCAGGGGACAGGTTGCTTAACATGTCTCAGGGCTTATGTTGCGTGGTTCTCTGCGTCTACAGAGATATCTGGGCAACAGCTGGCAAATCCCACTGAATCTGGAGCTGCCTTTGTAGCAGGTACCACTCCAAGGCTTCACAATTGGCCAGAGTTGGAAATGGGACATTGATATGGGCTTATTGATAGTAAGATGGAGAAGCCCAAATTCAGTAATGTGGGAAGAAGGTGGAGCTAACAGACAGTACAGAGATAAGAAGAAATCATTGAAGAAAAAGGGACTGGGGACTCCCCTTCTGTGGAAGGATCTCCAGGGGCAGACCAGGGACTGTGCAGAAAAGAGGAACCATAGAAAAATAGTTTTGTTTATGCTGCAGATAATACACTGAATTCTCAGTATGTCCCCTGGCAGTGGACAGAGACATCTTAGTAACCAAAAGGTAGTAGAGGGTAGAGCCAGAATCACAGAGTTTGGGATTTGCTTGCAGTAATATTTGCTCTGGGTCCATAGCAGATCCTTTAAAAACCCAGAAAGTTTGGGTGGACTGGCTGATCTCCCATGAACCAGGTCAGGGAGGTAAAAGTCCATCTTTTCAACAGAGGCCTTAGAGGTAGCATTATGGTGAAAGAAATGGTTGTTTTTTTCCTCTAGGATTGGAAAATATTTGGGGCAATGTGATACAAGCTACCATAGGGACTCTTCCACAGATCTTGGAAGCCCTCAGCTATAGAAATATGTGAATTTATATATCTGTACTTAAGGATACCTCACAGCTTTTGTGACACAGGAACAACAGATGATGGAAATGCAAGTCTATGGGGGTACTTTAGGCTTGTCAGCTCTGGGTTCAGGGAACAAAAGGGTATTCAAGGGCTGCTGACCTTGTTTCTCCTGGACATATTTGGTATTGCTCTTCTTCTTGTCCTTTTGGTTCACAGGAATCCTGCATTCCTCATGGCTTGAAGAAGACAGAGCTCCTGCATCCCAGAACACATCTGATGCTTGAAATTCCTGCCTTAGCTGGTGGTCAGTCCAGTAATCTTGGATGCTGACTATACCAGTTGACTTGGCAGCTGGCTGCGTTAAGGATTTGTGATCCGTTAGTTGACACGTTGTGGGGGTTGCAGATGGAATTGAAAGGTCTTTGGAGTGCTGGGAACCCTGATTCTGATCAAAAGACAAACTAGACAAGGACAAAATATCTAGGCAAGAAGAGCCATGCGATCGTCTTGAGGAAGTGGGAGAGACAGGGGTGTTCTCATTGGCCAGCAACTGCTTAATCTCCAGAGCCATGGCATTGCAGATGGGGCAGGAGGGATCTGCACACAGGAGCCTCCGCACACTTCCCTCCTGAGGAAACCAGCTCTGGCTGGAAGAGGAAACATGGCAACTGTTAATGACAGAGTGACATCTACCTCTCTGGAACTTGTGGCCTGAAGTTTGACCTTGCCCTCCCTAGTCCTGTACCCCCTGGGGTTTCCCCCTCCCCCTCCAGTGTTTACTCTACTTTTCTTCCTAGGAAATTGCCACTTGGCAAGTTATGGTGTGCTGGGCTGAGGGTCTGAGGCTGTTGGGCAAAGTCTCAGACAACCCATGGGAACACAGGGCCATGAGCGACTGGGAGGTGGGTGAGTTCTCTGCTGACCTGGGCTGAGAAGCTTAACCAGAGAAGGGAACAAAGGATGGGCAGCCAAGAGTTAGCTGATGGGGCATCTCCAGGGCCATTACCAGGTAGACCCTGAACTCAGTCTCATTTGGGACTAAGATCGCTACAGCCTGGTATTCAGAATTTCCAAGCTGTGGGAAATGAGGTCCTGTGGAAACTCTGCTTTCAGTGGACTGTGAGGCGTACACAATACCTCTTGGGAGCCAATCTCATCCTCTAGAGCTCTTAAGAAGAAAATGAGATGATAAGCTCCTGGCTGAAGGCTGTCCCAGGAACTGGGCTCCCTGAAGACAGAACTAGAGCATGTAATGTCAGCAAGGTCTAGGGGTCTGTCCTTGAAAGGGTGTAGCTGTAAGGAGAATGTGACAATGATGACTTATTTATGCACATATTTATCCATTCTCTTGGATAACTAGTCTTTTGGCTGAGTACAAACCCATGTAGTGACTTTTATGAATTAAGCACTAGTCAAATTCTGAATTCCAGGAGCACTGCAAGTTTGGCCCAGAGTAGAACTGGGAGACTTATTCTCCCTGAGATGTCTGAGTTCCCTTTGCCCTGGCAACCCTCTCACCCAGTGCTCCAACCTCCGCTGTGTCTGACTCCCTCCCAGTCATCATCCCTCTCCTCATCCCTGCCCAGGCCAAGCAGAGAAATCATCACAGTCCAGGCTGGAGTTGGGAGACTACAGGCAGCAAGTGATCACCTTTTCATGACAGAGAGCAGCTCCCATGGCTTCTCAGCTTCTTTGCAGGAATGTTTCCTAGCTGAGAAATCAGGCGACAGTGTTACATGGAATGAGAGAGGATTCAGGGACATCCTATAGGCAGCTGAAGGCCTTTCAATGAGAAGAGCCTGAAAGCCCCAACAGTCAGTGCTCTAGGGCATGTCTGGGTACAACTTAACCAGTTATGATGTGCTGTCCAGGACCAAATCTCATTAGATCCTCACACTGCACTGTGAGTGAGGCATGATCTTCAGATGCCCATTTGTTGGATAAAGGACAACAGATGAAGTGACTTCCACAGGGTCATAAAACTAGTAAATGGCACAGCTGAGGACCTGCTACTACTTCCTCACTCTTCATTCCTTGGGGTAAGGTGGAGAATTTTGGAACATTACAGGTCCAATTTACTGCCCAAAAAGTCTTCTAGGAGAATTTGTTGACTTGGGGAATTGGAACCTTCAGAGAGTACCTGGCTCTTGGCACCAGAGGTCAGAAAGACGTTCCATGGGAACCTTGCCCACAGTGGAGGGGAGTCAGAGAAGAGACTAGGACTTTACCTCTTGAGGCTCTATCTTTAGTTCTTTGTCTGAATCTCCGGTGATGCTAAAGACAAAAAAGTTAGAGTATGAAGCTGGAGCATGCTTTCTTTTCATGTCTAAACATTTCCTAACCTGCAAACATTTCCTAACTTTTTTCTGTATGCCAATTTTATACATTCCTCTACCTTTCTTTTCCCTACTCTACATTTTTCACCCCATCATTTTCTTTCTCTTCTTATTTCTGATTCATTTAGAGGCACTTCCATACTCCATACTTCCATCCCCATTCCCTAAACAAGTTCTGTGGGAATATAAGAATGACACAGGGAAAAAAGTGGAACAGATTAAAGGATGGACGGTCTAGTGGCCAAAGGACTTCAGCCATCCAAGGCTTTCACAATGTCTACCAACCAGAAGAATCACCCAAATTTGGAGTTTTCTGGGATTCAATGAGGATACCCCCATTTTAAAAGCAGGGAGTAAGAGTAACAAGAGGAAGTAAGGAAATAAAATCTTGTTTGAAGCTTAATATGTTCAGTCATGGTTACAGTGTTTCCCTACCCGGCAACAGCTCTTTTTAGGTCCCAACTTCAATCCTTGGCGGTTCTTTTTTGCTTGCCAAATAATTAATGCAATAACAATGATGGAGCCATAAGTGTATAAGGGATATTCAATTTCCCACAGAACAAATATAGGGCTCAACATGATCTAAACCTAGCCATTCTCTTCCTAGGCATTCAAGGTCTTGAAACCTAATGACTCCATATTCTAGACCTTGTCATCTCCACCTCACAGAGGATGCAACCAGACCACCAGACTGCATCACAAAGCCCTCCTGTTTCACAAGGCATGTGGATCATTTCAGACTTTTATCTGCCTAGGACAGTGATTTAAAATACCTTTTTCATCTCATGGCACACATAAACTAATTACTAAAATTCTGCAGCACACCAAAAAATACATTTTTTTTGCTAATCTGACCAATAAAAAAAAGTGTAATCTTGATTCATTCACACTGGATGGCTATTGTTGTATTGGTTATTGTCATTCTTTTTAAAAAATAATCTCAGGGAAAAGAGGTCAGTGCCTCTGACTAAATAGTCAGGTATTGCATGTTTTAAGAATTCTGATGGTACACAACTGAAACTTGCTGGTCTAAGAGAAGCAAATAAGATTCAGTGTTCAGATGAAAGTATCTAATTGTGGGTATGGATTGCAGGGCCTAGGCCTAAAAGTGCCAAAGTCATAGGCAGCATATATTCTTTCATGCTCTTTCTATTGCCTAGACCCTGATGGCTCACCTCTCTCCTTTAAGACAGTAGTTGGGCATCTATCCCCAGGTAACTGACTCTTTATGTATGCTGTATGCTCTGTAAGAGAGAGATAGTGGCTAGGTCAGAGGAACTCCATAAACTACATCACCTGTAATGGGGAGAGAACTAAAAAACACATAAGAGGATAGAGCATGCAACGTCTTGTTAAGTCTTGGGAAGTAAGGGTTTTAATGTCACAGGTAATAAATAGGTGGTCAGTATGGAGAAGTTCAGGAAGGGGACCATGTCTGATGTAGCAAGGACAGGACATAACTGCTGTCCTTTTAAATAACTTTCTAGGTTATTAAAAAAGGGCTCATTCCAGTCTGTGTGGTAAAGCTTGAGATGGGCAAGAGAGACTGTAAAATACCTTTCAGGGAGGCACATGAATGAGGCTTACCTTTGGAGCTTGATTTTCCAGAACAGCCTCTACAGACCTTATAGCATCCTGCCTATTCATGGAGATGTATTATTGGCAAGACTTTTCATTAGGGACCACAAACTTGTGGCTTTTTGGTTGATTCCATCATGGTTGGAATATTTGGTTGAATGTTTTATGAAAATCTGAATTTGATCACATTTAGGCAGAGCAAGCTTGTTCCTGTTCAACTTCAACACCCATCACTCTTATGTCTACTGATTCGCATATTAATGCTAACTTCATGGCCCTTGTTGACACTGTGATATGCCTCCAAGACAGCAGGATTTCTGAATTTCCTTAAGAAGTTCTTGCTCTGATGTGAGTGGTCCCACAGCCCAAATATTCTTAGGTTGAAAAATCTCTGAAGAGGCTATTTGGTCCTGCCCCCAGCATCCAGTCTTACGTCGAACAAGTGAGTTGTGTTACCTGCCTGCTCTCAAGACACTTAAAAATCTAGTTTTGAAGACAAGACTAATTCACATGAATCAAGAACTAACCTTGTTCTAGCTGGTTTGGCTCAGTGGTTAGAGTGTCAGCCCTCAGACTGAAGGGTCCCAGGTTTGATACCAGCCAAGGGCACGTACCTCGGTTGCAGGCTTGATCCCTGCCCCTGTTGGGGTGCATGCAGGAGGCAACTAGTCGATGTGTCTCTCTCACATAGATGTTTCTCTCTCTCTCTCTCTCCCTTTTGCTCTCTCTGAAAAAGCAATAGAAAAAATATCCTCAGGTGAGGATTAAAAAAACCAAAAACAAACTTTACCAGGGGTTTGGGAAGAGGGGAGTAGGGAGTGATTTAATGGGTACAGAGTTTCTGCTTGGAATGATGAAAAAGTCTGAAAAGGGTAGTGGTGATGGTTGCACAACATTGTGAATGTACTTAATGACATTGTACTTAATCATTCGTACTTAATGTACAAATGATTAAAATAGTACATTTTATGTTAAGTATATTTAACCACTGTTTAAAAAACAAAAGGCAAAAAAAAAAAAAAAGCAACAATCATTAGTATGAGGGACTTTTTACTAGCTATAAGGAAGAATATTCTGCAAATGATTTGATAAAGAAATGTTAGAGAATGTTTTTCTTGAATATTCTTTTTATACAGAACAAAATTTTTAAAATAGATCCTTATATTTAAGATAATCCTTTCATCCCTGAAGACGGGATGGATTTGAGCCATTTCAACACCTTTTTTGAATTTGCCAGTTCCATAGTACAGGAAAGAGGCTTTTTCAACCAAAGAGCACTGAATAACACATTAACAAAAATCAGTTTAAGAGCAGCTTGCATCAGCTTTTCAGTAGCAAGTGAAGATACCTACAGAGTAATTTGACCCTTGCACTACTTTTATTATTACTACCCAACCTGGTCCTGCTTCCTGCAGCTATGCTATGCTCCTGCAATAGTTCTATCTCGCATTAACCTGACCCACTGTGGTGCTATGTGGTGTTTGGTGTCCTCCTCCCTGGGGTCTCTGAATATATGTGCTTAATAAGCTGCTGTCAGTCTTATAGGTACAGTGTTGGTGTCATGCATTCAGCCATCCCCAGAACTCTAGGGTGGAACTCTCTCCTTCACCAATGGGCTGCAGAGGAGGTAAACAGAATACTATGTATCCTCCTCAACCAGCTCCTGATTCCTGCAGCTGCTGCCACCTTTTTGCTGCAGCAACAGTTCTCAGTCTCCATTAACATGACCTCTTGCTCCAGGCAAAACCATTAAATTCTGCAAGTTTCACACCATCTCCAACTAGTGCACTTACCTTACAGATAATCCACAGACACTGTCAACCCACTAAGCCATTAAAACCACTGGCTGAAATCTCCTCTCCAGCCACTCACCCAGCCCTTGCTCCTCTATCTCAGAGCTGTGGAGTTAGAATCAAAGATAATCTTATGCCTTTTAGCAGAATTGGCCTTTAGTGCGGGTTTAGTTATTGATTTGGTACTTGTGACGAAGGGTGCTTGTGTGGATAGGACAGTGGAATCAGTGTCTTCCTAAACAAGGGGACATTCACATAATGAAAACAGTCTGTCATTTTTAATGATGTGGGTATGGATTTGCTCTTCCTGCCTCATGGTTTTTAGTGAACAGCAAACAAGGGAGATGAAGTACAGGAAAAGCCTCTGTTACCTCTGGAGGACTACACAATTCTAAAGGATTCATATTGATTTGATTCTAGAAAACTTATAAAGCCAGACCCTGCTTCCATTACAATGTTAAAGCACCACAATTATTGTAATAGTAGAATTTCCTCAGGAAACTGCTTACAATTACTGATTCATATGTACCATGGGTCATACAGCACGCCATTGATGTGAGTTTGTCTCTCCAGACAAGCCTTATGAAGTTGTACTGTCCCATTCTCAGAAAATATTATGGAACACCTTAAATATGCCAGGGTGCTGGGTCAGAGAAGCATAGTTGCTGCTATTCAGCAGCAACATTGTTATACATGAGCCCAAGATCTAAGTGCCCAAGATCTAAGATTTCCAGAATGTTGGACTGGAAGCCCCAAGGTAGTGTCAGTCAGCAAGTCGACCAGCACTCATGCAGCAGGTTACTCTACTATGCAGAAGTGTATCAAGCAGCCACTAGAGAGCAGCACATGCCCACTCAATGCTCCTAGACTGGAGGACTCTGACAGAAACAGGTCATTTACTCCAGAGGCTCTCAATCCTGGCCTTGCATCAGGCTCACTGGGAGGCTTGTAAAAGTATAGATTTCCTGGCCTCGCCCAGACTTAATGAATCAGAATCTGTAGGGTCCAACAATCTATATATTAAGAATAAAAAATAGCCCTAGCCAGTTTGCTCCGTGGTTAGAGCTTTGGCCAGTGGACTGAAGGATCCCAGGTTCAATTGTGGCCAAGGGTACTTACCTTGGTTGCAGACTTGATCCCCGCCCTGGTCAGGGCATGTGCAGGAGACAACCAATTGATGTGTCTCTCTCACACTGTTTCTTTCTCTTTCTTCCTCTCTCTCTCTCTCTCCCTTCCACTCTCTCTGAAAAGCAATGGAAAAAATATGAACAAAATAAACTGACGAACAAAATAGGTCCAGAGACATGGATTAATGGAACAGACTGACAGATCTCAAAGGGAAGGGGGTGGGGGTGGGGTGGAAATAGATTAACCAAAGAACTATGTCCATGCATACATAGCCCATGGACACAGACAATAGTGTGGTGAAGGCCTGGGGTGGGGCAGGGGCNNNNGCAAAGGGGGGGAAATGGGGGACATCTGCAATGCTGCCAACAATAAAAATACATTAATAAAATAAAATACTAAAGCACAAGGCTCAAGAAAACTGAAAGAAACAACCACTTACCTAATCATGGAGAAAGACTGAATGCTTTCTGCTTCAAGATCAGAGACAAGGCAAGGAGGTCTAACCTCAACAATTCTTTTCAACATTGCACTGGAAGTTCTGGCCAATTTAATCAGGCAAGAAAAGAAATAAATGGGACCTATACTGAAAAAGAAAAAATATATATATTCTATTGGTTCTTAATTTACATGATTGTTTATGTAGAGAATGTTATGGAATCTATTAAAAAGTTACTAGTACTAATAACTGAGTTAAGCAAGGTTGAAGGACACAAGATCAATTACAAAAAATCAAATTTTTTTATGTACTTGGCAATAGTCAGAAATCAAAATTTTTAGAAATACCATTTACATTAGCACCAAAAATATGATAAACTGAGGGATAAATCTACCAGATATGAGAGACTTACATACTGCAAACTACAAAATACTTCTGAGGGAATTTAAAGACCCCATAAATGGAGAGATATACCTTGTTCATGGGTCAAAAGACTTAATGTTGTTAAGATGTCATTTCTCCCCAAATTGATCTACAAATTCAATGCAATCCCAGCAGGCTCTTTTGTAGAAATTGATAATACGATTCTAGAATTTATATGGTACAAAGGCCCTTGATAGCAAGATCAACTTTGAAAAAGAATT